AAAAAAAAAAAAAAAGAAAGAGTGATGGTAATTGCATATAAATGGATTTAGTATGAAAGGTCATGTATAATATTATATATAATCTTAACTATGTATATAAATGTATACATATATAAATTTCATGTACCGTAACAACCAAAACTAAGAATAAACTCAATAATGAAGGTGTGGGCCTATACAAAGAAACTATAAATCTTTACTGAGGGAAGTAAACCAATAGCTGCACAAATGGAGTCTCATTTCTGAAAATACGCCAACTCCAAATTAATATTATAAATTTAAAGTGGTAAAATACACCTGAAAGAATAATTGGACAAAAATAGCCAGGGAAATTTTTATTCTTTTTTTAATTTGAGGGCAGGGAGTATAGAAGGTAGCTAGATGGCCAGTAGAAAAATGTATAAAGGAAGTAACCAGGCACTTCACTACAGAAGAAATGGAAATGGCCAACCCAATAAAAATATGAAAATTGTTTTCAAATTCTGAAAAAATGTTCAACCACAGTTCGTCATATATGATTTCATATAACCAGTTATCGGATTTTTATCAGATTAAAGAGAAAGATGATGTCAGGTGTCTGGGAAGTAAGTGGTGGGGAACAGCCACCCTCATGTCCTGCTGGGCAAGTGTAGATTCGTTTCTGCTTCTAGATGGCCTATGCCTTGACCTCACAGTTCACTCGACCTAATAAATAAGAAGATTCCAATTACATTTGGTAGATTGAACATACCTGCTTACCACTACCACCTCTTATAACTAAAATGACAGTGAAGAATGGAAGAGGCATTCCCGAGGACAAAGAATGATAGAGACGAAACCTCCGGCACGGTTCTGGAAACTGGGAGGCAGCTGGACAAGTGGTAGTTGACTCAGCAGACCAGCAAGAGCGAAAACCGGGGTGGGCAGCGGGGGGAGACTGGGCACTGGCTGATTTGTACAGCAGAACCTTCAGCAAGCCCAGAAGTGGGGCCGCTAGGACCTTCTCAATATCAGAATGGAGGTGGGATTGAAAACAGGATTGATGACAAGTCAAATTTACAGAGCAAATAGACCTCCAGATCCCCCCCTTAACAGCCGCAGAGAACTAGAGGTTTACTTGTTTTGAGAGGTTGAACCTGAGACTGTGGGCTTTGGGACACGGGGCCCAGCTGAGGGGAGATGGGTACCATCCTGGAAACCAGAGGACATGTGACATATGCATAGTGAATGACTCTTCCTCCACTTGGCTACCAGCACACTGGAGCCTGGTGGGTGGGAGCAGGTCAGAAAGGCCTTCGATGGCTTCTCTAGGCCCCAAGAGCAGCCAGTCCAGGGTGGGTCTGGAGAAGGCAGGGCTCAGGGATAGGGTGGCCAGAGTCAGCAGATAAAAGTTCTCTTAGATTTGAATTTCACAAAAACAGTGATGATTTTTAGCATAACTGTGGAGCCCCCCTGGTGGCAGAGTGGTTAAGAGCTCAGTTGCTAACCAAAAGGTCGGCAGTTCGAATCCACCACCTGCTCCTTGGAAACTCTGTGGGGCAGTTCTACTCTGTCCTATAGGGTCGCTATGAGTTGGAATTGACTCAACGGCAGTGAGTTCAGTGGGTGTCCTATATATTGCATGGGACGTTCTCTTTGTTGTTTATTTGAAACTCTGATGTAGCTCAGCATCCTGTATTTTATCTGGCAATCCTATCCAGGAATGTCTCCGAAGAAAAATATAAAATTGCTAAGATCACCTAAAGCATTTGAATGTTTGCATTCTTCTGTGGAGAATTTTGGGATCAATTAGTGAAAAGTACATAAAAAACAAAGCAGATGGAAAATGAAGCTGTTAAAAACTCTAGGGGAAAGCAAAGGATGTAAGAAAGGAAATGTAATGATGGTATATGTTATGTGGTGCTGGGTTGTAAACAGTTTTTACTGAGTCCAGTTTAAATACTGAATATTGAAGGAAAGGGCAGCATGTATATGTTTGGGAGAGGTATCCGAGTATTAAGACCTCACCTTGTGTGTAGGAAGTATGTAATATCTGAAACTGGAAAACCAAGAAATAATAGTATAAACATACTATTTAGAAATTTGGAGGCACTTCTATCACCATCATTAAACTAAACAACAGTTTAGCCCAATTAATAATGTTAGCTTTGAGCATTGTGCTCTTATAAAGAATTATCTGTGTGAGTGTGAACTGACAACAGTTCATCCAAAGCACAGATGAGAACTTGAAGGGGCAGAGAGCCTAAATTAATGGTGATGAAACCATATGGGTGGAGACAGTGGGAATGGTGATACACCGTGAAGTAGGTAACCAATGTCATTCAACTGCTCATGTAGAAACTGGGAATGGATGTACGTTTGGTTGTGCATATCGCCACCAAAAATAAATAAAATACACACACACACACAGACACACACACACAGAGGCGCACGTGCGCGTATAGAAAGAAATTTGGAGGCATATCACTGAAAAGTACACAATGGCGCTACAAGTTGCAGTGGCTGTCTCAGGAGATGGGGAGAGCAGACTACTGTTGTAGGGGAAAAACATCACAGAGTTGAGTGAAGCAAAAAGAAAGTTTTATTAGGCATATATTCAAAAGGGCAGTGGGAAGCGGACAAGCATGGTGCCACAGCCATGTCTGCCTGACTCCAAAGACCATCACAGAATAGGCAAGAATGGGAAAATGGACAAGCATGCTGCCACAGCCATGTCTGCCCGAGTCCAAAGACCATCACAGAATAGGCAAGAATGGGAAAATGGACAAGCATGGTGCCACAGCCATGTCTGCCTGACTCCAAAGACCATCACAGAATAGGCAAGAATGGGAAAACGGACAAGCATGCTGCCACGGCCATGTCTGCCTGACTCCAAAGACCATCACAGAATAGGCAAGAATGGGAAAATGGACAAGCATGCTGCTAGAGCCATATCTGCCTGACTCCAAAGACCATCACAGAACAGGCAAGAATGGGAAAACGGACAAGCATGCTTCCACAGCCATGTCTGTCCCAGTCCAAAGACCATCACAGAGCCATCAGTATAAACATTACAAACGGGCAAAACCATTGAAAGCTTAGCCTTTTCAGATTGGCTAGAAACTGTGATCCTAGTTTTGAATTGTCCTTTAACAATCATCGGTACAGGTTTCAGTAATGAGTCAGGAGGGTCTTCATTGATCCAACAAATTTCTATTCCCTAAATGCTAATAGAAAAAGATGAGAACAGAAAGTCTTTTGTGTTCTGTTTGATTGCCTTTATGTAAAAGTTTCCTGAAGATATTTTCCAAGATTATCTTAGCTATTGTCTTTATAGCTCATGGCGCCGTTGATGTGTCCTTGTGAGCCCTTCTCCAGCTGGGTCACATTCTCTATGCTCAAGGACAGGGAATAAATGATTCCAATATCATTTCCTAAATCACTACTGCTTTTCCTGATAGGCCTTCTAGAGGATTTAGTTTCTGAAACGACATGTATGTGTGACTGTGACTTAAAAAATAATTATTGATTATTGATCATAAATATGTATGTGAAACAGTTTTCATCATAGGAAAAACTGGAAGCAGCCTAAATAGCTCCCAGCAAAGATTAGGTCAATATAGTACGCTAGATCCACCACACAGTCTTCAGAATGATCCTGGAAATCCAGGACTTGTTCACAGTATGTTACATGAAGGGGAGAAGGGAAGAAAGGTCTCAGCAAAACGGTTTGTGTCTTATGGTTTGTTGTTTTGTGTTCGTATGATGGCGTGGAATGGTCTTTGTTTTCTAGAATGTTTTTATGGCTGATTATTCAGGCAGGTATGTAGCCTTGCCGTAAAAATACTCTGAATTTAATTCTTAAAGGAGGAAAGCGGCAAACCAGTTAAATCTCAGGGAACCCCTACTGTGTGTCCAGTTTCACGATCTTCAAATGAAGCAACGTCCCCATACCATTCCCGACGGAAGATGCGGAAACTTCGAGATCATACCGTCCGAACTCCTTCTAACCTCGACATCTTGGAGCTCCACACGAGGGAGGTTCTCAAAAGACTGGAGATGTGTCCGTGGGAAGAGGTGAGCATCGTGCTCCATGAGAGCAAAAAGGACGTGTTGTTCTTTAGAGGTCTTCCAAGGCATAGTGGAAGGAGGAACGGGCTGCCCTTCTTGTGGTTGACCTTTGCCCCCACATGGTAGGAGTCCACCGTGGTTGCACCTGTGACAGGTGGTGCTTGCTCTTCCCAGGTGCCAGCGTAGAGGCAGGAGCAGACGGCTTCCATGTGCCGCCTGTTTACGGCGTGTTTGTGCTCTTCTAGGCTCTGGACAAAGTACCAGAGTGAGCACAACTGAAGTGCTGCCTGGTGATGTGTCATTCTGGTTGAGGTTGGCAGGGTGGGGAGACAGAGGCCTGTGATAATGTAATTCCAGATACTACCCAGTGTTAGGAAGGAAACCAAAACAACAGAGCGCCAGCACAAGAGAGGGTGGGATAGGCGGTGACATCGGAGCTGACAGTTAAATCACGGAAGGAGTCAGGTTGGCACGTGGAGATTTGAGGAACAGCATGGCGGGCAGAGGGAGAGCATGTGCAGAAAGCCCGTCCTTGAACCAGCAGCATCGGCACCACCTGCGGGATTGCTGCAAATGCTAGACTGAGACGAGCTCCCCAGCTGATCCATAAACCCTTTACGGCCGGAGACGGCCTGACCCAGTGGGCCCGGGGCGGGGGGCGGCTTTGAGGTCCCTGCAGGCCTTGGTGAGACCGCTACCACCCATAGTTTTTCATCTGGGGGAGAGGACAGGAGTTTACAAGGAGAAAGGTAGGGGTGGCTCTGAATTTAAAATATTTAAGAGAGTTATATAGAAATTAATTTTATATAATTATATCATTTGAAGATTTTGTTGTTCTAAACCTATTTAACCCATAGACATCCGGAGAAAGGTTTAGCTTATTATGAAATGTTCTATTTAATATTTCGGAAAAAGGTTGCCACAAAAAAGCAGTGGTTTTTCTACATGAAGAACCCGCTACTGTTGATCCACGCTGCCCCGGGGTGGCCTGTGTCCCTGTGGCAGCAGGTTGTCCCCGTGTGCTGCTAGTGGTGCTGTGAGAGGATTAGGGTTGGGTTAGGGTAGGCGGGGGGCCAGCGACTGCACCCCAGAAGGAAGAAGCAAGGGGGAAAGGATGGATGTAGGTGAAGGTGGTGCTTCTCCAGCTGTCCACAGGACAGCAGCGTCTGTGGATTCACCCTGTGCAAACTCTGTATTCCACTTTTCAGAACGGGATCCTGTCATGTCCTGGGTTTGGGCCCCTGGAGGACCTGGCTGCTGCACATCCTAGCCCAGGCGGGCTGAGAAGGAGGGCAGGGGGTCTGCTGCAGTCCTTGGGTCCTGAGGGCAGAGGCTAAGGAAGTTCTGCTTTATATTTTCAGGACATCTTGAGCTCTAAACTGAATGGAAAATTCAACAAACATCTCCAGCCGTCTTCCACAGTTCCTGACTGGAGAGCAAAAGATAACGATCTGCGGTTACTGCTGACCAACGGAAGGATAATTAAGTATGTAAAGTAGGTCTCAGTAGCGATCTGGTTAGTTTTCAGCGGACTCCCTTTGTTGGTTTAATCCCTCTCCAGACTGTTCCACAGCCGGCTGGAATGTGGGCATAGGGCCTCTGTGAGTTAGCGGGGCAGGGAGATGGTACAGAGTCCACACTGCTTCCTGACTTGATTATTTTTCTCCCTCTGATGTAGAGATGAGAGACAGCCCTTCACAGATCCAAGTCTGTATACAGCAGATAGTGAAAGTGAAGAGGATAAAAGAAGGACAAAAAAGACAAAAATGAAGATAGAAGAGAGTTCAGGACTAGACGGGGTGGAGAGCGAAGAACCCCAAACGCCGCTTAACAGTATGTCTCATGGCCACTGGGGAGATCTCCTCATTGTATGTGATGATGTGTAAAGTAACTTGCTGATTTTAAGCTTCTTAAAGTTTGTCAAGGGATTGAAGTTGTTTGTGTCTCTGATGCTCTTGCAGAATCTGAAGTGTTTCTGAGTAGTTCCTCCCTCAGGGGCATGCTGACCATGCAGCCACATGCAGTAGTGCCCAGGAGGGCGTCATTAGTGAAGGCCACACGGTGGGGTCAGGACACCACGTCACAGTGTCACAGGGCTCTCAAAGTGTCACATGGGTGCTTACGCGTTTTATTACACAGTTGGCCTCTCCTCCAAGTTATAACACAGCTGCCAGTTTAATGTACTCCACTAATTTCATATATAATTTTAGCTGAAGTCTGCATGGTTTTCAGACTTGGGAAACGTAATTGGTTGATTTGAAGCTGTTGGTAATCCCCGTGTAGTGGTTTTGTTTGATAGCCTGTTGACCGAATGCCTCTACTTGGATTTTAATTGTTCATTGTCTGTGTGACAAAGTAACACCTCCTCCTCCTTGAGATCTGATTTCATTAAATGAAGTCTTAATTTTCAAAGTTTTGCAAGGCCTCCATATCCCCTTCTATTTTAAAAAGTAGTTAAAATGAAAATGTTGGTACCTGACATTTAAATGATCCAGATAAGTAACGTTTAATTAAGCATATTGAATACATCAGTGACTGCCAAGGCCAGGTAAATTTGCCACAGCTGTGGTTGGCTGCTCTGCGTTTGTGCCCACACCAGCAGGAATTTACAGTCGCTGGGAGCTGTGCTCATGGGGGAGAAGGGCAGAGCTAAGGCCCTACTTAGAAGCTTGTTGAGTTCATGCTCTACTTGAATGCTTTTTAGGTTCAGGAGAGGTGTCTTTTTGTTTTCTGTTGAGACCACTAATGCAGAAGGGGACATGAAAAACAGCTAATTTTATTTTTGGAGGTTTATTCTGGAAAGAAATGTAAAACAAGTCAACACAACTCAAATAAGGAATGTGATCACATTCAGTAGATACTACACATGTTTTAAGAACGCACTTCAGTCTGTATCTTGATCAATTAGGGAGAAAGACTTTGGGAGGGAAAAAGAAATGGAAACCATGAAGAAAGCAGTGGAAGAAGGGTAGAGCAGGAGCGATGGAAAGATCTCAGGAAGCTGGGTGGAGTTTGGAGACCACCTGGTCCATGAAGTTCTAATGACTTTCTCCTTTTCACTTGTGCTCTCTCCCTTTCTCAGGGTTTTTGACAAGTGTGAAGTCAGAACTCAGGAATAGATCATCAGAATATTCTGATATTTCTGATTCAGAAGACTCTGGACCAGATTGCACTGCACTGGTATGGCCGGAACCCCGTGCTCTTTGCACTGGTGCACAGGAAAATGGCACCCATTTATGCTGACCTCCGGTTAAAGCACATGGCAGCTTCCCCAAAGCCTCTGCGTTCTGTAGCACAGGTTCTTCCCCTATCCCCTGGCTGGTTGCATTTTTTTAGAAATAATATTTTGTTGTGTTTTTGGAGGAGGTTCGCACAGAAGTTACAGTTCCCGTTCAACAATTGCTGCACACATTGTTCAGTGACATTGGTTACATTCTTCACAACGCCTGAACATTCTCATTTCCATTCTGGTTTGGCTGTCTGCATTTGACGAACGTAGCTCTTATCTGGTTTGGGACAGGGTTGCAGGAGAGACTCCTGCGTACACTGTTCTTGTGTTTCTCATCGGTTATATTTCATTTTTCCTTAAAGAAGACCTATACTGTCAGTTTATTAGGGGTTACTGTTACTGCAGGTACTGGAGATGAGATGATCTTTTTTTATATGAAATACAGAAATGATTCCCTAATGATTTAGATTCTAACTTTCCCTAAACAATAGTCTTTTTTGCTGCTGTTGTTAGTTTGTACAGACGTATGTAACTTTGCTTCCGTTTGATTATTTGTTCTCTCAGAAAACTAATTTCACCACTGAGGAGTCTGACAGTTCAGGGGATGAGAAGAAACGAGAAGTGACGTCCAGCTTTGCGGAGGAGGCTAACGTGCCGAGGGCCTCCCTTCAGAAGACCCAGAGCCCGTCTGGAAGTGGAATTCCAACTAAAAGGTAGGCTCGCCGACGCTGCTAGTCTTAGTGCACTGTGATGCCATGTTATGAGAACATTTTGTTTTTAGTTTTAGACTTTACCAAACATTTCACCAGAGGAAACTAGGCGCTTGTCTTCTGGTTCTTTGCTCTTCAGGGAATGTCCTACCTCGACCAGCACAGAGGAAGAAGCTATCCAGGGCATGCTGTCCATGGCAGGGCTGCACTATTCCACCTGCTCCCAGCGGCCAGTGCGGAGTGCAGACGGCGCCGCCACAGAGAGAGATGCTGTCCGGGACGCCGGCAGCTGCCACAGCAGTGACCGCGAGGCCAGGCCACTGTGTCGCATTGACAAACCTGTGGGGTGTGGTAAGAAACACAGATTCTCCGTCCCTATAAAGCAACGTATGACCCAGCTGAAGAGCTCCATAACGTTGGTTTAGGTCAGAGGTCATACGTAAGGACTGTTGGTTGTGCCGTGTTTAGCTGGGAACGGCCAGAAATCCCGTAGTGCCGCAGGTTGTGTGAGGGTACAAGTAAGGACCCCCCAGCCTGTGAGTGGCCTGGGTCTGAGGACTTGCTGCCTCAGGACGGTGTGGGGGCTGCCCTCTCACCAACAGCAAAGCTGATCCCAGGCGGAGGAGTGTTTCCAGGTCTGAAATGGTCTGCTGAGCCTGACCAAGCCACTCTTCCTGTTATGGGGGGAAAACAGGTCTGGAACCGTTTCTTTCTGATTGAGGGCATCTCCTTCCTACTGGAAAGACAAGTGTTAGGAAGGAGAGCAACTTGTCAGCAGTGTCTGCGGTCCCCATAGCGTTTGCTTCTCTGTGCGAAAACTCAGTGCGTGTTGTGATCATTGTGTTCATTCGCACGTAGTTGGGAGCTCCACATCCATTTCACTGCATTCTCGGACCCACGTCCACTTTACAACGGAAGAAGCAGGGCCAAGTGAAGTTTGTTTAACTTGCCTCCGTTCACACAACCGTTACTCAGTGGTGTTGGAATTTGAACCCAAGACCATCTGACTCCAAATCTTTGCTTATTGTGTAAAAGGAAACTGAGATTCAGAGAGGTTAAGTAACTTGCCTCAAGTTGCATTGGTAATAGAGGAGCCCAAGTGCAGATCTGGGTTTGTCTGTCTTTCCACTGCCCCATTCTGTCTCCATAGTCTCTTTTGTTCCTTGAAAAGAAAGCTTCTATGGAAATGCTACAAATTTCAGGCAAACATCTGCCTTTATTCTATATGGGAGAATACACCATTTTGAGAGAGTGTGTATTGCGTTTGGCCACAGAATCGGACTGTAGGTCCTCCAGCACCTAGCACGGATCTGTCACAGAAAGGCGGTCTGTGCGAGAACCGAAAGAGTTAGCAGGATTGGCGGTCAGCTCGTGACCGTTGTGCTTTTGAGGCGGGGTGGGAATGTGGTGAAGGTATGTGAATAAATGTTTCAACAGTAGTTAACATACTTGTCTTTAAATAAAATGTCAAAGTAAAATTGCTGCTAATTTTAAGCATAAGGCTAACTTTAAGATCAAATTTGTATAAATCTAATTTAATTAAAACGTCTCTTTAGGATACCAGGTCAAGACTGATGATCCAGATTTGAGGACCTCTTCTTGGATTAAACAATTTGATACAACTTCCAGATTTAACCCTCAGGTATATTTAAGGTTTGAAACATTAAAAGGAGATTTAGAATTGTCATTAACTTGGTTACTGTTTTTGTTTCTTTAAACTGCAACCAGTTATCAACCGCTAGATCTGGGAAGCCACAATACCACAACTAAACACACATTTTTAGGGATTCTGGGATAATAACTTGTGCAAGGCCTGCGAATAGAATGTGATGTGGAGAAGAACAGCACCTGCCGGTGTCTGGTTAGAGTGAGCGTCAGAGCGGGAGAGCCGCGTGGCGGGGCAGGTCACCCCTGCTGGCTCCGTTGCTGTCTCTGTTTTTTATTTTTGACTTAAGTTATGATGCAGTTTCAGGAGTTAACTCCTTCACAGTCCTTAAGTTTCCAGAACGAGGTAGCCATCAGGAGGAGGGGCTAATACATGCCAAGAAAAGCAGAGTTCAGTCATCTGTGTCCTCTCTCGACTTTGCTGATGCATAGACAGGTAATACCTCCCTCATCTTCTGGGACACAAGAACTCAGCCTATTTCCTCCCCTCTTCCTTAGGACCTAAGTAGAGGCCAGAAAGGCATCAAGAAGGAAGGCTCCTCAGAAGTCCTCCAGAGGGCGCAGAGCAGGAACCACATGGACAGCAGCGGGGCAGGCCTTCCAAGCGGGAAGTGCATGCAGAACTCAGGCGTGGTTCCGGGGCCCTGCCAGGTCAGCAGCGGCAGTCTCAGCCCGGAAAGGCCAGGTGGTGAAACCTCCTTTTCAGTGCCCCTCCACCCCACCAAGAGACCTGCGTCGAACCCACCGCCTATCAGCAACCAGGCAACAAAAGGTAACATCTGCCTTTCATGGGGCGATGGGGTGTGCCCTGACTGTGTGTGATGGCTGGAGCGGCCGCTTGGACACAGCCCTGTGCTTGCCTGGGTCACTTACTGCCAGAGGTGTTGTGGACGGCACGGTGATGGCAGTGCCCAGGCCACTGAGGGAGTGGAAGAAGGACACCTAGCAGGGCCCTGAGGGTGGAGTGGCTTTGTGGAGGAGGAGGCGGGTCCTGGGAGGGCGCTAGCTGAGGGGAAATGACAGGATAGTTGGCACTGGGGCCCAGGGAGGTGGCATGACCCAGGTGTCAGGGTGAGAAGCAGTATCGGGGGACTCGTGTTGCTGAAGCACAGTGTGGCCAGGACATGAGCTGAGCTGATGTGAGTCTTGTGGTGTGGTGAGATGGGCAATGGGTGTTCTAAGCATGCAGCTTCCAAGTGTGACTGGGTCCTTCACAACCCTGAGAGACGGCATAGCTCTCCCTTAAAAATGGGGTGCTGTCCCCAAAGCTGCTTTTGACATCACACTGCTGTTGGTATCTTGTGTAGGTAAACGTCCAAAAAAAGGAATGGCCACAGCCAAACAGCGTCTCGGGAAGATCCTCAAGCTGAATAGAAACGGCCACGCCCGCTTCTTCGTGTGACGCGGCCGCTGGAGCTGGTGGCGGGGGCAGGAGCCTGGCGCTGGCCGCCCGCCCGACGCAGATGTGCATGTCCACTAGAGAGAGAGAACACTGCCCGGGAACAAGTGACCCCGATGCTGCATTTTCACTGTGCCACACCCACTCAGCAATAACCGCTTGGACCTGGTGGGGAGGAGGAGGAGGAGGAGGGAGAACCTTAAACGAGACCTTGAACTGGAAAGGGCCTCGTGTCAGGGCTTGAATTTCGTTTTGTTGTTGGTAGCGTCTTGATTTATTTTCAGTGGTAGGGTAAAGAATTATTGATAATTTATTTAACAGATTTTTTTTTTTTAAGTTAACAGCCTTTAAATTCTTTCTTTTTTTTTTTTAAGCTATTTATTTGGAAGATTTCTGGAGAAATATCTCACTAATTTAGATTTAAGAATGTGAAGGTTTTTAAATTATTTTTGATAGTGTGTGTGTTACATGTGGGAAAGAGCCACGGTAACAGTAACTAGTCTGGACTCTTAAATTTGCTATTCAGGTTAAAGTCTTAAACAGGGATTTGATGCATTAATTATTTTAAATTAAGATGTATATGAAAATCATTTTATTTTATATATTTCATGTGTTTTTTATAAGCTATTAGCTTCGCTTTTGCTAACTTCCAAGGTGCATACTGTTATCCAGGTCGAGTCCCTTACACCCCCTTCCCTCTGCGCCCGCCATCATCCTGCCAGCCCCCACAAGACTCTTCTTTTTGCAGGAAAACACTTTCCCAGCCAGCGCGTGAGAACCACGCAAAAGATCCTGCGCTTCTCATTTCGTTTGACATTGCCGTTTTCTCCTAAATATGAAAAATAGGCCTTTTGCATTTTCATTTATGCCGACGATATATGGGTCCCAAAGAGAACAGCTTTAACATCTTTTTCTTCCTTGTGGGAAAAGTATTATAAGTTTGGTTAAATTGTCACATTTTTAGTTTTTCAAAATACATTTGTAACGACTGAGCGGACCTTCCTTACAGCGCTGGTGTTGGGAGACAGGACCGACACCTGCGTCCAGGTTATGCTTTAAGACACTTTGATGCGGTATACGTGACTTGGTAGAATCAAACCTGCATAATAATACGCCGTAATATAATAGGATTATACTCTATTAAGTTGTATAGAAGCAAACATGTTGGAGTAGATCTTGGGTGTGCGCGTGTGTGTGTGCACGTGTGTGCACGTGTGTGCGCGTGTGTAGTTTTTTGTTTCTGACCCTTCTCAAGAATGATTTAGGATGTGGATTTGGAGTGAAATGGGTGCTTTTTGCAGTGTCTTCCAGCAGTCCTGACTTAACCAGTTCGTATTGTGGTTACGGTCTGGTTGAGCTCTAAGGTATCGTTAATTTCCTTGATGCACAGATTTTACTAAACGCCAGTTTTCAGTTGGTTGCAATAGCTTATCCCCCCACCCCCAGCCCATGGCTTAAACATAAGTGATTTCTGGGGATAGAGTCTGGAGATACACCTGATCCTGCCGCTAGAGCATTTTGCAAGTTCCTACAAAGAGCATATAGGCAAATAAGATGAAATTTATTTTTATGGAGAAGAAATAGGGCCATACTGTGGACTTGTCTTTTTGTACTCAGTGAGGAGGCTGGATTTGCCCTTCTGTGTTAAATATCCCCTGAAGGGGTAGGAAAGAAAATCCATGCCATCATTTTCCACAGTTGTATCCAGATGTGTATTTTCAAAGAGAAATGTTTCTTACTGTCTCCATTCCAATATTTCATGGAATAAATCTCAAATAGCTTATGAATTAATTAGCCTTTTGGCCCGGAGTGACCTGGCTCGCTCTGGACCTTACCTGGTGTCAGGAAGAAGACTCTCTGTGGAAATGCCGAGTATGTAAAGGGCCCGCTGGAACGGTGTGTCCACGAGGCCAGAGCGCGGGGAGGAGACTGTCGGTGGTTTGACCGGCCATCTTCTCTCGCGGTATCCGCAATTTGGGTCTGACTGATCTCATCCACCTTCCCCACACACTAACTCACTGTGGTGTTTTGGTTTAATGTAGACCCTGTTATAGCGTTACGGCACGCGTGTGTTGTTTGTTCGTTCAATTGTTTTGTTTTAAGGAATAACTATAATTTCTTTTTCCAGTACATCATGCTCTGGGTTCTTTCTTTACATTTTTCACAGCTCTAAGTATTTGTAGTTATCTAACTTTCTTTTCTTTAGCCATAAGAAGAAAATAAAATTTATTTTTGTGGATTAAAATTGTAGCCAGTATCCACCCTGTGTACTCAGGCCGGTAAATACTAATTTTGAGTAGCCAGTAGTTGGAATTTTTAAGCGAAGGTGCCATGGATTCATCTTTGGCAGAAAGTTTAGCCTATTAGCTAGCTAAGTGAAAAGACTTGAGTAAGGGAATGTAACCACTGTCACAAAACCTGCGCCTCTTTTCCGAATGGGTGGAAATGCAGCCCTGGACCTGGTGACTCCCCTAGTCAGCCCTCGTGCAGACTGGCTGTGGTGTGTCCTTTTCTCTTGCATGGAGAGGGCTGGACTTGGGGGTGACCACAGTGTCTGGGTGGACCGTGATAGACGGCCTTCTGTCTTTCCCTCAGTCTCGTCTGTAAATAGTGCAGCCACACGGACACTGCCACAGGAGGACAGAAGTGACAGCGTTTCACCTGTTACGAGCAAACAGATGTGTGAAGCTGAGAGTCCTGGCTTACTGTACGCGGTTTCAGTAGCAGCGGTAGATGACACTCGTCTCCTTACGTAAACGGTACAGAAGCGACAGGTCTGTAACGGTGCAGCGTCCTGTGAACACGTCAGACGTTTTAAGCATTAGTTAGTTTTTAAAGCATATAAAATTGGAAATTATAACCAAGATCACCTTATAAACTCAGAGAGGAAACAAGCCCATCTTTATCACTGATGAAATACTGAGCTTGAATGCTGTCCTATGTTTTAATCCTGATTAATTACCTTTGTAATGAACTCTGTTGTACTGATTCGTATGAGATCTGCAGGTACTTGTCAGACACCCACTGCGTGCCCAGCACTACCTTGTCCGAGGGGGTGTGGGGGTGAGGCTGCAGCCTCTCCCCGGGAGGTGTCTTCTCCAGGAGACAGGCAGTATTTGTTTCCACTTCTAAGGAACTTAAGCAAAAGAGGGTCCATTCATACAAAAACAGCGGAACTTTATTAGTTCCAACTAGATACACAGTGGTAGAAGTGGAAGTAAAAAGGACCTGAGGTTTTTTTTTTTTTTAAATTTTAAGAAACATTTCAAAAGTTAATTTCATGTTGGTCATCAAGGGGCCTGTGTGTCATGGAAGGGAGCAGAAGACCAGGGTGTTGTCCAGGTTCTGCCACTTACCTCTCAGCTACGTGCCCTTGAATTAGTCACTTCCCAGCCCTTTCCCATTTGTAAGCTAGGCTAAAAATGCTTGTAATGGTAATCAGTTAAGAAAAATACATAAAGGCATTCCTTAATGTACTAGCACTTCACACTAGCAGAGAATTTATCATTGGTAATTTATAATTTGGTAATTTATAATTGGTAAAAATAATTCATGAAGGCACCTTTGTATACATTTTTAAATGAAAACTGCTATTATTCACAAAACTTGTTTCATATGAAACCTGTGCCCAGAGCATGCTCCCTAAAAAATCTGAAGCCTCTCTAAGCAGGTGCTGAAGTAAAATCAGGCTTAGTTTTTTCTCAAAGAGGAATTAGGCTAGTCTTGCCCTACAGATTCTGCATACGCCTCAGGCCCCAGACACAGGTGAATAAGTCAGGGTATTAAAGTGAGTTAGCAATGCCCGGGGAACTAGAAGGCAAATACAGACAGGAAGTGGTTAGAAAGGTGGGACCCCACAGAGACAGCTGTGGGCGGGGCAGCAGTGACTTGCTGGGTGGAGAGAGAAGCCGCCGCGCCGTGCAGGAAGGGGGACTGGACTGCGTCCAGAGGAAAGACTGCTTGTCACAGATGGTGCACTCCACGCGCTAAGACTAGTCTCCCCGGAGGGGACCGCAGCGCCTGTGTGGCCAGTGGACTGCTGTTCAGAGGAACTCGGCATCTTAACGTTTCACTTCGAGAGATGAGGCCTTAAGATACATTTGTCAAAATTCGTCAGAAATTCATTTTTCGCATTAAATGTGAAACCAATTGTTTCCTACATAAAGAGCAGCTAAAGATCACCACTCACTTCCTGAGGCCCTAGACCTTAACCTAAGCTGTGGTGAGAAGGCGGAGCATTGCTCTTTAGCCTAGGAGGAGTGTCCCCCGTAAAGAAAGGAGACAGACCCAGGTGGGAAGTGCATCCCCCGGGGTCCCACACACTCTGCTGGGCCCCCGCTCTGATGCTGTGCAGCGCAGCTCGTCTGGGGGACAGTGTTGACGAGCTTGCTGGAAGCCACGTGGAAAGAAAGGGGAAGAGTTAGCACACTTGCTGTATTGCTGATGAACGTAATGTGATTTTAATCCTGTAGCCTTACTAAAAAACCTTCCCTTATTTTAATTTGCTTTTCTGTGAACATCATGCCATATTTGGTGTCCCTTACATAAACAGATTTAAAAATTAAGGCCATTGAGAGACAAATGCATATTTCAAAGCAGTTAGCTTATTGTGATTGACTGGTTTTATAGTTGCTTGTGTATTTATTTTTTATCTTTAATGGACAGGGGACAATAATACTTACCTGAAATTCCTGCGTTTCACCCCCTTGATTCTCCTCTCACCTTGGCGCACCGTCTAGTTCCCTAAGGCTTTGTCTCGACAAGCGCAGCATTCCGCGTTTTTGGTTGAAACCCGTATTGATCCACCACGTCCCTCTGCTCTGCGCTCGTTCACTGACAGACCTCCAAGTCGTTTACTATGCAAACTGTGACTTCTTACCCCTGAACGGACCTTAACCATCAAGGTAAACTTGCCTCCACCCAGTTTAATTTTGGCCATTTCCTTTTCAAAACGTCAGCCTTCTTTTTTCACCCCCAAGATTTCTCACCAAAACAATAATCATGAATGCTGGAATATATAGTATTTTGCAGGGATAAAATAACCCTGACGTACTCCTCTCACTTCAGTGGATTTGGGTTGGTAAACATTACCAGCATTAAATACACTGAGGATCGTTGACTCCTTGCCTGAAAGCATTTCTTCCCTCTCAGATTCACAGGTAGCTTTTTATTTTTACAGGGCATACATGTACCTTCCATGTTGTAGTCAGGGACCTGAGGTGTCACTTGCTAAGTGAACCCCAAGGTTATTTTGTCTTGCAGAAGAAACCCAAACCAAACTAAGGGCCTTACAGTTTATGGGTCGACCGAATCAAAAGCTATAACCTCAATTTTCCCCAAGCCAGCTCCGGACTTGGGGAGCAGGTCAGG